ACAGATGAAAAGTTATCGATTAACCCTGCTATCCGAGCGTGGTTACTTCTGACAGACAAGAAGTTAAATTTTGACGACCGTGGCTCGGAAACCGGTCGATCGACAGCACGGGGATTTTCGAACATAAGAAATAACTTTCGAAATGTCACTTTTAACCACGAGTTAAATTTAACTCGGCAAATGGTTCACAGCCTAAAAAGCCAGTGGAAAATTCCATACGAACTGCACACAAGTAAATGAAAATTACTTTGACCCACTTTACCTACTTTTGGGTTCCTGCACTATCGTGCCGAGATGAGTGAAAAGAACTTAATTTTGGGTACTTTTTTCTAACCGTGTAATTGGTCTGCAGGTTCTGCAGCGTGACGTCACAAATGAACTCAGTGTTAAACGGCTGAACCTTTTTGACAGTTCAGTGGTACTATGTTCTGCAGCGTGACGTCACAAATGAACTCAGTGTTAAACGGCTGAACCTTTTTGACAGTTCAGTGGTACTGTTTACAAGCACTTAGTCGTTTTTTCGAAAAAAAATTTCTAAAGTTTCTAAATTTTAACTTGAAAATTGTCGAGGAACAGCGCGTTGAAAGGATGTTGCTCGTGGACATTGCAGAAGTGTGGTTTACATCTCACTGCAGTCTGAAAAATTATCGAGAAAATCCACCCAAGAAAAAATCGACTAAGTCCACGTAAACAGTACCACCACAGACAAACAGACATAACACTCTCAAGTTGTTCATCGAATAAGCATTTAACGGTCAATTTAAAAGTATCGTAGTTGGTAGTACCGCCACCTGCGGCGCGCATAGTCATTTTCCTTGCATTTGACGTTTACACACTACCGCCATCTGTTCAGCGTACTACCCACCACAGTGTGCTCAACAGATGGCGCTAATGTTTCAGCGACGATGTTTTACAGTGAGAAATATTCAATCTGTTATGTCTGTTTGTCTGTGGTACCACTAAAGTGTCATCAGATTGAGGTTAACCCCGACGGTGCAAAACCTAACTGTTTACAAGCACTTAGGCTCTGAACCATTTGGTGGATTATTTTAACTTTTGGTTAAAATTTGACAGATGGAAAGTTATCGATTAACCTAGAGTCGGTGTATAATGAGTCACGCCAAGAGTGAAGCCAAGTCTACCTATTGAACTGTCAAACCGGCTACCTATCGTGCAAAGTAAACAAACATAACGATGCTATGCAAGGTCCACGAAAGGTATTGCAATAAAATATAAAATAAAATCGAAGAAATGATCATAAACACGCAGTGAGCATTAAATTGTCATGGGGTACGTTTGGTAATGATGAGTAATGGAAATTTCTATTATTTTTTGATAAAATAATTTGACATAATCACTGATATAATGATTAACTACAGACGCTATTTTTTGTTCTCGCTAGAAGTCATTTGAAATTGATGTAGAAGTCCTCTGTTGCCAAGTGAAAAGAAAGGAAATATTTCGAAAACCGTGATGCGAGTTCAACTGTTTTTCTCTTGGCGTGACTCATTATACACCGACTCTAGATTAACCCTGCTATCCGAGCGTGGTTATTTCTGACAGACAAGAAGTTAAATTTTGACGATCGTGGCTCGAAAACCGGTCAATCGATAGCACGGGGATTTTCGAACATAAGAAATAACTTTCGAAATGTCACTTTTAACTACGAGTTAAATTTAACCCGGCAAATGGTTCACAGCCTTAGTCGTTTTTTCGAAAAAAAAAATCTAAAATTTCTGAATTTTAACTTGAAAATTGTCGAGAAACAGCGCATTGCAAGGATGTTGCTCGTGAACATTGCAGAAATGTGGTTTACATCTTACTGCAGTCTGAAAAATTATCGAGAAAATCCACCCGAGAAAAAATCGGCTAAGTCCAGCGTGACGTCACAAATGAACTCAGTGTTAAACGGCTAAACCTTTTTGACAGTTCAGTGGTACCACAGACAAACAGACATAACACATTGAATATTTCTCACTGTAAAACATCGTCGCTAAAACATTGACGCCATCTGTTGAATACACTGTGATGGGTAGTACGCTGAACAGATGGCGGTAGTGTGCAAACGTCAAACGCAAGGGAATTGACTATGCGCGCCACAGGTGGCGGTGCTACCAACTACGTTACTTTTAAATGGACCGTTTAATGCTTGTTCGATGAACAACTTGCGAGTGTTATGTCTGTTTGTCTGTGGTGGTCTAGGGGAAGTACAACTTGATCTGAAGTAATATTTGATGTAAAAATTTCTCAAATTGGTAGATATTATAATTTTTAGTATAAATATTAATGATATTAACTGTCAAGCGGAAAGCTTCAAAGTAAAAAAAAAATAACAGTGTAACTTAAACGCATACACTCAATGACGTTGCACCGTTGTTGTTTATGTTTACTGCAGCCTGCAGCTTTCTGTTTGTCATAATTTTTGCCTAGATTTTCGTTTTCGATAGCTCTGATCGATTTCGACTTCGGCTTTTCATGATAAAAACGGTACTAGACGTTCCCCCAGCAACAAATCTCTCCAAGTTGCATTCTCATGGAAAATCGAGCGTAATACGACCACGGGACCATCACTCTGGGCTTCCGTTAACAGGGGCGGCGTTGTCAATCGATTCCTGTTCAATAGGAGAACAGCACATTGGTTCACAGACGATGAAGAATTCGTGGAAATTAATTCCTGGGAATGGAAGTGCGGCCGATTATGTGCACTGAGAACAGCTACCAAAAATGCCGAATTTATGAGAACAAGGAGCGGATTTTGGTGGCGGCGGTGGCCAGCAAGATCACAAAGGAATGACTTGCCTCTCGTGTGAAATGCATTTTTGATTAAACGAATGTCAAATGTACACTTAAAACAAAAATAGTCAAAAACAAACAAAAAACAACTGTCATACTAAGTATAAGATTTGCAAATATCACACATATTAAAATATTTAATATTTCCACCATCGGTATTGATACTGATACTTGGAGCTGTCCTTCCCCTAGGTGGTGGTACTGTTTACAAGCACTTAGGCTGTGAACCATTTGCTGAGTTAAATTTAACTCGTGGTTAAAAGTGACATTTCGAAAGTTATTTTCTATGTTCGAAAATCCCCGTGCTGTCGATCGACCGGTTTTCGAGCTACGGTCGTCAAAATTTAACTTCTTGTCTGTCAGAAATAACCACGCTCGGATAGCAGGGTTAATCGATAACTTTCCATCTGTCAAATTTTAACCAAAAGTTAAAATAATCCACCAAATGGTTCAGAGCCTTAGTCGTTTTTTCGAAAAAAAATTTCTAAAGTTTCTGAATTTTAACTTGAAAATTGTCGAGGAAGAGCGCGTTGCAAGGATGTTGCTCGTGAACATTGCAGAAATGCTATGTACATCTCACTGCAGTCAGAAAAATTATCGAGAAAATCCACCCAAGAAACAATCGACTAAGGCTCTGAACCATTTGGTGGATTATTTTAACTTTTGGTTAAAATTTGACAGATGAAAAGTTATCGATTAACCCTGCTATCCGAGCATGGTTATTTCTGACAGACAAGAAGTTAAATTTTGACAACCATGGCTCGAAAACCGGTCGATCGACAGCACGGGGATTTTCGAACATAAGAAATAACTTTCGAAATGTCACTTTTAACCACGAGTTAAATTTAACTCGGCAAATGGTTCACAGCCTAAGTCCACGTAAACAGTACCACTGAACTGTCGTCAGATTGAGGTTAACCCCGAGGGTGCAAAACCTAATTGTCACCTCTTCCTCTTAGGTTTACACGTTCAATTTGCTTTCAAGTCAGTTGAATTCAACTGACTTGAACGCGAATTGAACGTGTAAACCATGCCATTCAACTGACTTGATCAACTCACTTGAATTGAAAAAGTTGAACCAGGCTCAACTTTTCAAGCCAATTAATCATGTTTTGTTGTTTTTGACATCATCCACGTCCAGAGGGCCATTCACTTTCGAATGTATGGGAATGGTAGGAAACCATTTGGAAATGCATAAAAATTTTCAGTTTTTATTCATTATCGTCTTTATGAGCAGTTTTAAATGCACAAAAATTAAACGAGTACATTACTATGGTGATAAGGTAAACACTCGTTTATTTGTTTCCTTCTGTGGAAGCATGTTTAGTCACCACTCGTGGATTTTCTGATATTCTCCATACTGCAAAAATGATTTTCTTACCACTGAAGGGGCGACATCTCTCGGATCTTCAGTATAGCTACTACTCAAATCATATAATTAATTGAATTCAGCTGAGTTGATCATTTGACTTGCCCAGTCTAAACCCAGCATTACAGTCGATGCACGATGTGGACGCCAAATAAGCACACAGAGCATTTCATTCGGCGGCGCTTGTATAAAATCCACATGAGCTTGCGGCGGCAGCATGCTCACCGGAACCGGAAATATACATCGTGTCTGCGGCGGGGTTGTATGTTAATTTAAATGTGATTTTTTTAATAAGGAGCACAATATTGCCTTTCCAGATATTACCCCCTGTGATCTTATTTACAAATTCTCATGTTATTTTATATGTCGCATGATGGGGTGATAGAATTTTGGGCCATTTGGTGGTGTCGGGCATGCGTATTCTGAACGTATTCCAGCCATTTTTAAACGGATGATCAAGTAAAAAGTTAGGTAAACTGATTTTTTTTCTATAATTTGTACCGATCATTAAATAATATTCGGCAAAAAAACGAGGTTCATGACAGTTCAATAATATTTGTGTTTGGTCTACAACAGATGTTTTTTTTTTTTTTATTATTATTCTTGCTTATTTTTCGTCGGTGTCTGGTCCGCACGTAGGCACACGTATACTCCACACATTGATTCTAGATATCGAACCCATCAATACATGGAAGTGAACCTAGACCCACTGGGGTGATAAAGCAGTCACACGTACCACTTAACCACCGGCCTCAGCAGAAAACGTTTACGCTTCTCAACAAGTTGATGATGGTGTCTTAATCCCGATTAAGATTTTTCAAATACACTTAAACTACTAAGTGCACAAGTAGAAATTGTGTCGATGTTCGATGTTATTTTCTTCTAAGTCACTGCAAACAGTACTACCACCCCGATCTGGTGTATTGCATCAATATACTTGAACTTTGTATGTTCACCTTTAATGTTGTGACTAGACTGCCCGGATTTAGTTTAATTGGCATGCATTCAAATTAGTTAATGTTTACCAACGCGCGATTTAAAATACATCGGCACGGGCAACAAACAGCTGATCAAAAGGCTTGGAAGATTCTATCAGATTCACATTGCATCAGTATATTAACAGACTTAGCGAGTGAAACATGGCTATCAGAAAGAGGAGTGCACTGAGGAAAGCGCTTAAAATGAAAGATTGCATAAGATTTAAGGTAGCATTATTTAATGTCCTGCACGTGAAATACTTCTTGTGTGATAAACGTTGTTACATCTTAATCTTCTTCTCCGGCGGAGGTTTCATATCATTGCGGGATTCTTCCTTGATTACTTGCATAAGCATGCCTGAACCGGCCTCGTTTGGATTATTTGATGCATGTTCTACGGGTTCCTGTTTAATGCTCACCCCATCTTGTCCATCCGTATTGTTGGAATTAGTATTGCCATTTTGATTCTGATGAGATTGATTTTGTGTCTGGTGAAATTGAGGAAGTGGGAGTGGAAATTTTCGCAGCAAATCACCTAGGAGCATATCGACTCTCTGTCGTTGAAACAATGAACTTGGTTCTTCTTTGGCTGGTGTTTCCTTGCTTTTTTCTGTCTTGTTTTTCTCAGCAACTAAAATGGATATCAAAAGTTTCACTGTTAAAAAGGTAGTTAATTATATTATATTGGTGGTGTAAATGCTTATCAATCAATGTACACATATACCAGAGATTCTCTTTCTTTTTTACTGAATGCAGTGCTTCATAATTTCGATAATTCTAGGAAGGGATTAATAAACATGTATTTGTAATCAACATAAAAGTGCAACTATATTAGCAATCTTTTAATATTCTCAGTTATTCAAATACAAAATGTCTACTCATTTTGCTAAATTAAATTAAGATTTCACAAGAACAATAGCAGAAAATGTTCATGTTTACAAAATAAACTATTAAGGGGCTGTTCATAAACTACGTAGACAGTTTTTTGGGATTCTTGGCGCCTCCCTCCCCCTACCCCTGCGTAGACAATTGTCCTTACTAAATTTTTAAAATTTGTATGGGCCATGGATAACTGTCAACCCCTTAAACTGTCTACGTAGTTTACGAACAGCCCCTCATATGATATAGGTACTTGCGACAACAAAAAAGAACACCGTATATTATCATTACATTTCATCAACATCTGTATTTAAACCAGTTCGCAAAACATTCAGATTCAATATCTCTTTTCATATGAATATGAACAGACATCCGCCTCATCATTCACTGCCTGGTTACCTGTTCGTTAGTGACTGAATGTTGGCTCTTTCATTGCCTCGTCCATTGCCGTTTGGTACATACGGTCTGGATAAAGCAATGAATTGAATAAAGCAGTGTTTTCACACTGAACCTAAGCAGTCAATAATGTTACGCTCTGTTTTAAACAACCATACATGTTAATTAATGTTTAAGGAATATTTCTGAATAATTTTATGCTTTAATTTTCAACAAGAAAAAATCTTAAGTATATATTTTTTTTATTTTTGAAGTCAAGATTTAACAAATAAACCTTAAAATAAGCATAATCAAACAACACGATTTCATGCTTTGATTTTAATTTGTATATCCGCATCCGCTGGAAGTATCTTCAAAAATAATTCTAATATAATTTAATATCCGCGTCCGCATCCGTAACGAATATTTACATCCGCATCGTTTTCTTATCATGCGCATGTTTTGAAAAATATTGTAGTTCATGTTCTGACAAAATGTAAATGCTGACCAGTAACAACCATTGTATCAATAGCTAAGACATATATATGATCCGACAGGAAGGAACGCATTTTTGTTTAAACGTTTGGAGTTGGCACAAATATTGATCACTTGTCTACAACATTTCGAATAGAAACGGTACAGTCAAAGAACTTATTTAATTACATGGATCATTGTATTGCCGCGGATACAGTTGTATGACAAACTATGAACATGAGCATTATTTGTATAATAAATCATGAGCACATCCCTGGTCATACTTGTCTATTTTCTGTATTATTATAGTGCTCTATACAAATAATGCTTATGCTCATAGTTTGTCGTCCAAGTGTATCCGCGGTATATCATAATCATTATATGCATCATTGTATCATTTTTTTCCTCTGATCGGAACATAAATCCACTGCGACCAGTTATTTGATCTATTGTGGTATACCCCGTGTCCTTAGTTTAGTGCATGTCGTATTACTCCATCACAATTGAGAAATGATGAAGTATTCGGTTTTGATACAGTTGTCATTCTTGCGTTTATCACAAGGATCCGACTCTAATATTAAGGTACCGCTCTTTATACCCTTTGGAGTGTTGGAACACCCTCCAAAAGCGCACCCCTTTGTTAGTCAAAAACGGATTCCTTTGCAACAAAATCAAGCAATAACACCGATAATAACCATGCATTGGAATCCTAGTCTAACCACTTCAAACTACAGAACAGCAAATAAAAGGTTAGGAATAACGTGGATGAAAAATAAATACCTATCTAATTTGTTTCCTTGTTTCTAGTTCTAGTCCATCCACTATCAACAAGGCTAGTTCCCCTAGTTTGAAGTAGTTTGGACTAGGCTTCGATGGTAGAACACAACATTAAAAGGTTCTCTAACAGGCGTTACTGGGTATCATAATCAGAAGCCGCTATCAACAGAAATCTGAGAACGAAAGTGGAGCTCGGCAACACATGGCTAAGTAGCGGCGCAAACGAAATCTGCAAGCAAGAGCTACATTGTAACCCAGCAGGACATAACAGTAGAGGTAGACTCAGAGGTCATGGCGGCGGAGCCTCAACAAAGAAATCAAAAAAGTCGACAGGAATTTGACCTGGGCTGAAATTAAACCAGAAGGAAGTGAGTAAGATTGTATCAAAAAATTGCCCGTACACCTGGTATGGGCATTGTTTTTGAGCAATGGGGAAAGCGGGGCAATATCGTCAATGGGGCAATGTGGCCACCTGTTCCAAAACCAGCTTATTGAACATAGCTTTACAAGCAAAGTAATATCACCAGCGGACAGATGAGATAATCCCCAATTTATTGGTCATATTAATTTGTATGATTCAATTATTATTAGCGCGATATTCACGATGGAAAATCAAAATTGACAGTTGCGTTATATCGAGGAATACCTGTATTTTAGTCTAAACAATTTTTTTTCTAGTACGTATATTCGAAAAATGTTAGACTAGTCCAAAATGTAAAAAATGTTATAAGATTTCTGAATCAGAACATAAGGTCTATCAGTATTTTCTTATAACTTATCGTTAATATTCCTTCAGCAGCTATATAAATGGTCATTGTTTTCTTACATGACATGATGTTTTTCTAGTTTTCAACAAAGGTTAAAGATATTTTTTTTATTATTGCTTGCTTAAATTCTACCCCTTTTTATGATAAATTTTGCCTCTATGAGCCTCTATTTTAAATCAACACACAGACGTTCCTAGGCTATGGTGCCCATTTGGTCACTGTTGTTTTTGTGTTGATCCAAATAGTTTTGATAATATAATTGCGCATTCTTGTTTTTTTTTTAACGGTTGATTTTTGTCCCAGTCTTGTCTTCTGTCGTCACTTATTTTGTCATTTTGTCTTGTGTATTGTGTCAACTTGTGTCTATTGTCCTTCCCTATCTGTTTTTAAACTTGTTCTGTTACTCTGTCATGACTAATTTCATTGATATATAAAAATATTAATATCAATTACAGGATAATATTGTTATTTCTCGATTACTTTTTCAAAGGGTAGGTGCAGCTCCTGCAAACAATGCATCCGATCGTCGATCCGGCGCTATCGGCAGCTCGCACACGCTCACGAAAACCACCAGCAGGTAGAGGGAAATTTCCCCTATCTGATGATAGTGCCAGTATGCGTGGGCGAGCCACCAGCTACGCCAAATAGACGACCAAACGCACCGCCTACAAAAGCCGATACACTCCCTTAAAAAAGGTGTCGAGATTTCTACTAATTAATGAATTATTGACAATTACCTCTCATGATCCTTGGCTCCACTATGATTTTAACTTACCACTTTTGGTTTATCAAATACCTCTCCGAGTATATAACGCCCCGACGCCTTGTTGGTTTCTGGTCTCATTTGCATTGGTCCTGAATTTGTTTGATATCCTGTTCGAAGTAATTCTTTGAGTTTCAGCTTGTACGTGTCTCACGTCATATGATTCGCCATTCATAAAGATAATGGGTTTTTTTTTTTTTTTTTGTTAATTACTTTATTTGTACAGGCTCAATTGAATAAACTTTACAGAGCCAAGTTATCATTTTCTTTATACATTATAAATGTCTTAAATCTAAAATTAAAGGATTTGAACCGATTACTCGCGGTCTTCTCGAGGTTAATGGATGACAATTGTTTGGATCGGGAGAGGGAAAAGGAGATATGGAATATGATTTATGATTCAAAAATTTCACTATTTCTAAAACATATACTTAATCCTATCGACGTTATATCAACTCTGTAATAATACAATTATTACAGAAACAAATCTACAAAAAAAAAGAAAAAAAAAACACACGCACATACAAAATACAAACTAAACACAAGGTTAATCAAACTTACAATCTATGGTTAATATTCTTCAAGAAAACATATATGAGTTGCATAAACTCCAGATCGCGTCTAGCCAAAATATCCCGAACTGGAACATTAGGTTGTCTACCTCGAGCCCGAAGGGAATCGTACAACTCGGATCTGACTCCACGGTGCTCAGCACATGACCAAATAATGTGATCTGCGTCCTGGTAACCTTGTCCACATTCACAGAGATTACTGTCCCCCAGCCCAACACGGAACAAGTGAGCGCTTAGTGAATAGTGATTGGACATGAGGCGAGACATCACACGAATGAAATCTCGACCCACCTCCAAACCTTTGAACCAAGGACACTTCGACACCTTAGGGATAATTGAATACAACCATCGTCCCAAACTCCCTTCACTCCATTTATTTTGCCAGCTGGCGAGTGACTGTTGACGATAAATGAAGAAAAATTCGTCGTAGGCGATTTGTCGATCGTAAATATCGCCTTGCATAGCGCCCAGCTTAGCAAGTGAGTCCGCCTTCTCATTGCCCGCAATCGAGCAATGAGATGGGACCCATGCTAAGGTGATGACAAAAGATCTTAAAGGTAAAGCACTTAGAAGCTCTCGTATTTTCATGAGAAAATACGAGGAGTGCTTTACCGGCCTCATGGAGCGAATAGCCTCGACAGAACTGAGACTATCCGTAAAAATAAAATAATGATCTGGTGCAAGTGAGGCGATCGTTTCTAGCGTATAATGTATTGCCGCCAGTTCAGCAACATATACGGAACAAGGAGCATGAAGCATTCGAGAGGCGCTATGAAATTCGTTATAAATACCAAAACCTGCGGACGCCTCTATTAGTGATCCATCTGTGAAGAACGATCTTGCGGAATCAACTTGGCCAAACTTTGCAGCGATTGACGGAGCAATCATGGAACGATGATGCTCTGGGATTCCGCGAATCTCTTGCGTCATGGATAAATCAAAATGAACAGAATTGACGAAGTCGGAGAAGCAAACACGATAGGGATTATGCTGCGAAGGGCTGACATCCTGTGTTATGTACACG